TGAAGAAGTACGGCCCGATGATGCCACCGGCCCATAATTAACACCAAACAGTGATTTTTTGGGATGCATTGGTAGCTCTTGCAATGCTTCTGGCTGGTCTTCACTCCAGATGCAGCAATTTTGCTTGTTAACGTACCCATTCAACCAGAAATGAGCTTCGTCGCTGAACACAATTTTTCGATAAAAATGTGGTTCTTCCTCCATTCACCAAATTGGAAACGTTGTGGAAGGTCGTGTGGCTTCAATTCTTGCACCAGCTGTATCTTATAAGGTTTTACACCCAAATCCTGTCGCAAAATTTTCCACGTAGTGGAGTAACAGAGGCCCAATTGCTGCGAACGGCGGCGAATCGATATTTCACGGTCATCACTAACACTGGCGGATACAGCCGCAATATTTTCTTCAGTCCTCACTCTACGTCTGCGTGTTGGTGGTTTAATGTCCAATAATGTAAACTGGTTTCGAAATTTAGTCACAAGCTTCCGAATAGCTCCCTCAGTAGGCCGACCAAATTGCCCATAAATTGGAAGCAGTGCTCGATGCACTCTCTTAACCGAGCATGAATTTTGATAGTAAAATTCAATAATTTGCAAGCGTTGTTCGTTCGTAAGTCGATTCATGGTTAAATTATAGACCAAACTGAACAAGTTTGACAATGACACAAGACATGATTCACGCGTCACCTGTCAAAAACAGTGTTGCCAAAAAGATACTAGCAAAAAATCACCCATTAAAATATCATACCAAAACGTTGTGGAAAATCAAGGCTTATACGGCCTCCAGAGACGGGGATTTATGTGATATCATTTCTATGCAATAATTTATATTTAGAAAAATTAACTTAAAGAGATCGAATAATATACCGGGTAAATCATTTACGGTTCAGGTCGACCAGGTTTCAATGTGTACGAGAAAGAGAGCGTGCACTATGTTATGTTAAACAGAGTTAAAGATAGTGCGCCCACAACGACTGCGAAGACGGATGCGGCTGAAGTTCCGACCGATCACGTTCTGATCGAAACGGTAAAAAGGCAGCAGTGATGAAAATTTGCCATTAACACAACTACTGACGTAATTTGGGTCCAAATAAACATAAATCGATGCGTTTTCCACGTAGTCCGATTGTATTACTGGCTTTCTATGTACTGTAAGAGTTTTATCTCCCTCCTCCAAAATCTTCCTCAAAGTGAGGAGAAACGCGAAAAAATTGATATTACATTAAAATAAACCTGGACAAATGCGGTTTTCACGTAAATTGATTAGAAAAAGCATATTTTACTTACGCTAAGTTCAAATCCGTGCTATCTCGTTCACAGATACCCCAAATTGACCCCCCTTTAAAACCTAATATTTTAGAAGCTATACAGGGTGTCCGCAAAGTTGGTGTTTTCCGTTTCAGAAACAACTACCCTTGAAATAACAAAGGTAATGTGTAGTGAAACGAGGGCGACCAAGTAAAAAAAATAAAGGAAAAGTACTCACTCTCCAGTTGACGAGAAGGGCTAAGTACGTCTCTGCCCGAAATCATACCGCTCCAACAGAAAATGAAATCAGCTGATGCGCTACCGAGCAGACGCAGGCAAACAAGGAAGGCAAAATGTTGCGTAAAAAGTCTAGGTATTGCATCCCGTCCAATCGATTTGGGAGAATAAATGGTCCAATGAGCATACCGTTCACCATGCCAGCCCAAACATTTACCGAAAATGTTTGTTGAAAATGTGCCCGACGGACAGCGTGCGGATTTTCTACTGACCAAACATGAGTGTTGCGAAAGTTATTCACCCCATTACGCGTGAACGTAGATTCGTCTGTCACCAATATGCACTTTAAAAAGTCCGGATTATTGTCATGTTGATGCAACAATCACTCACAAAACCGCACTCTTGCTGGAAAATCGTCAGGCTGAAGGGCTTGTACACGTTGGACGTGAAACGGATACAGCCCCTCTTCACGCAGCGTTTGCCACACTTTAGTTTTTGATACTTGCACTTCTCTAGCCACGTCTCTAGTGCTTGTTGAGGGATTCTCGTCTACGCGATTACCTCTACACGCGTGACCGTAACCGTCGGTTGAAGGTTGCATACTGACCTGACACACTGACCCCGACCCAGTTCTGTCGTCGGGTTGAGCTAGTGTCCTAGTACCACTCGGGGATGTCGCGGCTACAGGACGGTATTCAGATATTTTTGATGTTGCAGAGCCCTTTGTCTCGGTTCCCTTAAGACATTGGTGTATATGGTACTAAGAAAAATTGCTTATGTTTTCAAGATCTACACGTCGTGTAAAGGAAAACCCCAACTTTGCGGACACCCTGTTTAATCATCTATAGCTTTTCAAAACCGCCCAAGACCAAAATGTTTTGGACACTTCTCGCATGAATATGATCTAGTCAATCACACCATATCAGCCGTTTCCCCAAACCAAGTCCGGAACCCTCCGTTTTTGACCCCTCTTTATTTATACATGACAAATATGAAAAAATCTAATATTCGTCAAAACGGCCGAAGACCAAGAAGTTTTTTACATTTATGGCATCAATATAATCTAACTCATCACTCCCTAGTAGCCGTTTTCCGAAAGCACATCCGGAACCCTCCGTTTTTGGCAGAGCATTCTATCTAACCCTTTCTAACATACTTATTCCACGCTTCTCTCGCTTTTGTCTCGTACACATTCAAACTCAGACGACCTCAGCTGTAAATGATTCGCACGGTACTTCATTTCGTTTCAAGGATTTTGGAGAATCAGATGAATCAGTCAATATAGAGGGAAAACCAAATTTGTCTGAAGGCTTGAGTTCAATGAGCATGAGAGAGACATTTCCTAGGAACAGTGACGCAGAAGGTCGTGCAATCTGCCACGTTGCCAACATGTTACATCAGAAAATGTTCACACAGGCTGCTACGATAGGTTTGGTTACTGTCAAACCCAAGAAGGAGGTATGTTAGAACATTTTGTTTTAATTTTTATTAGAATTATTTATTTCAATTTTGATGCGACTTAGTGTCTTACTTTACTTTAGAATTATCTTTGACTTCCACCGATGGTGGATCCTGAGTTGTCGGCACATTTTGCGACAGCTAGCGGTCGGAAAATGTAACAAATATCACTAAGCTTTACAAATTATCGCTCTCTGCGACACTCCCCAATGAGCACTAGATGGATACTGACCAAAATCGCACATCTATGATCATGGAGGTGGAAACCTTGCCTTGGAATGTACGTGATGCGGTGTTGCCAAGCGAACCAATGATGCAATGTTGCAGAATTTGTGGAGATCCTGACCTTTCATTCCATAAAATGAAGCGCCGTTATGACCGATCCGGAATCGATCCTAAACAAACTCGACACAATTGACAATCTAAAAATGTGTACGCTCAAAATAAATCCATAATTTTGTCGTAGAGGATAAACTAACGCATATTTTTAACTTGTATCTTAATTCAAGGAACTGGTGTAACATATTGGCAACGCTGCACATCGCCACGTCAGCGTTGTTAGGCGACGCGGTGATAGGCTTCGTTATTCAGGCGGCTTCTATCTCTTCCTAACGTATGCGTCTATACACACATCTCTCTCGTACACGTTGAACTCAACCCGCCAGACAAATTTGTTTCTCCTTGTATGGATGAAATTAATGAAATTAACTCTAATGTCAACAAAATGATACCTACTATTGGTATCTTTGTTGATCTAAAAAATGCCTTTGATACGGTTAACCATGTCGAGCTTCTGAAAGTTATGGAAAGATTGGGATTTAGGGGAGCGTCACAAATCCTTTTAAAAAATTACCTTTCAAGTCGGGCACAGACTGTCAAACTCACTAACACTTACAGTAAAAAAATGTACATCAAGTGTGGTGTGCTTCAAGGAACAGTACTAGGCCCACTATTATTTAGTCTCTACTTAAATGACTTATTCAAAATTAACAGTTCTGGAAAGACTATATGTTTTGCAGATGACACCCTCGTATTATATAAAGCTGATGACTGGAGCACAGTGAAGCAAATAGCTGAAAAGGATTTTATAAGGATCATTGACTGGTTTGATACTAAAATTTTAACAGTTAACTTCAAAAAAACAAAATTTATTGCATTTACATCCTATTCAAAATTTTTACCTACCTAAAAAATTTCCGTTAATTATTATGGCCAAAAGACCAAAATCGATAGAGTTAACAGTTTGAAATATCTTGGAATATTTATAGACTCAGATCTAAGGTGGGATAACCATATTAAATATGTTATCAAAAAATTAGAAATGTTGCCTATAAACTCAAAATGCTTGCTAACATTCTTACAGAAAGTTATCTGCGAATCCTATACCATGCCTTAGTTGAAACCCATATAATATACGGCATCACAGCCTGGGGTGCCGCCTGCAAGACATATATTTCTGACCTGAATATAGCACAAAAAACTGTTTTGAAAGCCATTTTCCATAAGCTAAGATTATATCCAACGAACAACTTATATCAAGAAACAGGGATACTTGATACAAGACAACTTTATTTCTTACATGCCACCACCTTATACCATAAGTATTGTCATAAAAAGAAAAAATCCTATAAACACGAGCATAACACACGATTTCGAATAGGCCCATCTAATATCCAAAAACCACACAAAACATTATTCAAAAAATCATTTAAATTCTTAGCAGCTAAATTATATAATGTAGTACCAAACGAAATAAAGATACTTAATTTTGGAAAAAAATTGAAAGACTGGGTTAGTAATGTGCAGCGAATGACTATACATAATTATATAGAAAACTAAAACTACAAAATTCCAATTACATTAATACCTTTTAGATTTAACAATAATTGTTATACACATATATGATTGATTGTTAGTTATTAAGATATAAACCACACACAAGGATGCCTTCTGTGGTTTTTCATATTTATTTGCCCATTTTTTGTATTTTGGCGAATAAATATTATTATTATTAGTATATTGTCGTCCAGCATTTTTGTGCTCAGTTTGTTAATAACTTACCGTTACTGAAGCTTTTGAGCGCGTATCGTTCACCATGCAAGCATCGGGATCGTCAATATAGGAACTGTTTGATGGTGCCACCATCTCTGTTATTGCTATTGACAGAGACACCCTCATCGTGTAAGCATTTACTACGGCGAGGAACCCCATGATGCCAAGGATGTACCGTTGGGGGATGAAGAATACTGCAAAAGAAAACATGCTTGAAAATAAGGTTGGATAATGCCGATAATATATTTACACTCCTTCCAGAAAATAGATGAAGTTTGAAAATTTCATATTTACTTCCCACGCCACTGGCGAGGAAATATCATAATCGCGAAAAACGAGCCACTTCCCACTTCAGTTGGCCCAACTATTGAAATCTTAGTTTGTTTTTTATCAAACACAAATAAAAATGTAGCAGAGTGTTATACGTTTAAAATATTAACAATGAATATTTTGATAATATATAGTAGAAAACACCAACTTTATTATTCCCTAATCAAATTTGCAGCATAAAAATAGCACATGTTGCAATTACAGCATATCAACCTATTTTCATTTCAGTGCAAAATAAGTCTATAACGCATAGGTGGCAATTACAGCATATCAACCTATTTTCATTTCAGTGCAAAATAAGTCTATAACGCATAGGTGGCTGTGAAAAATAAAAGCCATGCCAATTGTTTTTATTAATCACAGCTGTCAGAATACGTTTAAAATAGTTTTGGGTAGTTAAGGTTTTCAAAATGGGTAGAGGTTATTAGTGAGAAAATTCGGTTACTGATAATTAAATTTTTTAATTCTGAGAAATCAAACTCAGAAATTGCAACTGTTAGACTTACCGCGGTACAGTGTGAGAAATATTGTTAGAAGGTATAAGGTAACTGGTTCAGTTTATATTAAGCCACGATATGTGAAAAAAAGTAATATCACAAATGCCGACCGAAGAGCATTATTGAATCATTGTGAAAAACATGCGCGCCAATTATTTACAATTAAGTGCTCTGTGGAGTGACGCTATTGGAAGGAGAATTTCGAGGTCCACAACTCATAGAGAAAATGAAAATGTTGGAATAAGTGTGATGTTAATCGTATGTAGCAGAGCTATAATATGTTAAGTCACTTTTTAATTTTTGAGTGGCATTGTAGAACTGTTTTAATTTATTGCGATGGATTACTTTATGATCATATTGTTCCATATATCAAAAGTTTTGTTTTTGGTTTGACATGCAATAAAAAAATTTTCAAGGTGGACGTAAGAGGAAAAATCTCACTGGTAATAACAATAAACAATAATCTCAGGTGATAAATTAGATCGAAGTCAATATCACAGGTAACGATTATATTTCGAAAACAAACTTCATATGATATTTCTGGAGATTTAGGTTGTTTTCCGTTTTCTTTTCCATAACCGGAACGTAAGCTATGAACCATGCTTTCGATACGTTGGTGAAAACACCTTTAGAATGGCATTATAGCAAATAGTACAAATATGGCATCAAGTAGGTTGACTCAGCACTTCTTACGCAATGCCGCCACAAAAGATTACATTCAACACAAGTTAGACCTTCTGTTGGCTGCAAAAATGTATAACAGAGACATTCAATTAATCAAGTCAGTCAAACTGGCAGCACGACGGCAGTAATGGCAGGGTACTCATCGACATTGGCACGTCCACCGATGAACCCAGAGCAGCGATGCGTATCAAAAACATGTTTGCATTTGTTTAAAGGGGAAACCTATGATGTGTGAAGTATGTCGAATAGGTGCGAAGAATTAGCGGGTTGGACGCTTATAAAATAACATAAAAAAGCATCCCCCAATTTTTTACCACTACAAATCTTTTTCTGAAAACGTTAACAGGAGCATCAAAAAACGATTTGTATTTTTTTTCGTTTCTTGGTCCGTAGCTCCGCCGTTACTAAGCAATTTTACAAAAGCTACAAAGCCTGTTTGCCCTTGACAGGCTAAGCATCAGCGGACAGACAGCCAGTCGCGTATGGTGCAAAAGGGTTATAAAATAATTTAAATATAAAAGGGTAAACTGAATGTTCCTTTACTCCCTTTACAATGGTTTGAGGCATAAATATTTTGAAGCTCCAACATCATCTGGGATCCAGAGAATCTCAAAACTTAAGTTCTGAATCTTGTGCTTGCCTCACTGATCCATCTCCATGTCCTCCTAATCCTCCAAATCATAATTGTCAGAAGAGTTGCTTCTTGGTTATTAGCTAAGATGATATGGAGATGGATTGTTTGAAAGCAAAACTTTAGATTAATTTTGTAATTGGGGCGTCTAGCTATTGTGCGATGTCCAAAGTCATTTTTTATTTTTATTCAAATTTAATCAATTATTATTATATTATTTTCTAGCTGCTTTGTTGCGAAAAATGGATATATTGGATATTAATCTATGTTACCTTGAAACTATTCCGAGTGACAAAAAAGGTACGTATGTTTATTAGAATTCAAGAATGTTTTCCATGTCGATTTATCTTGCCATGAACAACAAGTGATAAAATAGTCAAGTTTTTCTGTTAAGCTTTTGTGGTGGCTGTGTGTATTGTTTGGTGATAAAGAAGCATTCAGTTTTCGTATATTTACGTTAGCAGTTCACTCTTAACTGATAACATTGCTTTCTCAGACATTCACAGACACGGAGTCTCGCAGACTCCATAATATATATATATATATATATATATATATATATATATATATATAACTTGAGACGTGGTCATTGTCGTCTAGACCAGTTAGGTGAAAAATTAAAGCTTCCGCCTTTTGTTGGGTACTTCGACAAAATTTAAGCAAAGAGGACTCTTTATACTTTTTTTAATTCTCTCTAGCTTTCAATGGACTTTGCCATCATCATCAGGAGCTGCAATTACATTGATAACAGTAGCAACAATAATGTAAAATGAATTTAAATTGACTTAACTTACAGTAGTATGTGAGGATGTTGCTAATTGTTGTTTACGTTCAGGATGAGGGAACCACCCAGTAACATGGAGAAAGCTGGATAGATGGTACAATGGTCAAAATTATATAAAATACATACAAATGTGTGACAAGAACAAGTTAAAAACAGATTAAAAATTTTTAGAACATGAAAGCATTACATCGTGAAGCCACTTGATGATTGCACAAAATGGTGGTCATGGAATAATGAGTGAGATGAACCCTTTGACAGAAGGCCGAAGGTTGTCAATGTCTGTGTAGAAAGATGGAACGAATTGTGGGCGTGCGCCACGTTGCCAAATCACTTCAGATGATGTGATTTTCAGAATTTTATGTAAGAAATTGTTAAACTATATTTTAATCAGTGGGAAATTAAATTAACAATTATTATTAAATCGTGAGGAGAAAATTATTAGAATTTGAGTGGAATGAAGTTTATTGGTGGAATCGACCAAGAAACAGATTCCATTTATGGTTGTGAAGAGTCAAAATTTGGGGAGATATGTAAGTTCTCCAATTTTTCGCAGTTTAGCAAATATGAGTAATTGACACTCAGTTGCTTAACATCTGTCTTTTTGTTGATACAGTTGTTATTCATGAAAATGTGGGACATTTCCAGGAATAAACATTTGGATACGTGTTTTTCTTTATCAAGTATTTTGATACTTGTGTAATTCATAGAGTGCCCTGTTGTGTTAACATGAGATTCTAGAGCGCATCTTTCAGGATGAAGCCTAGAATCACTTTTGTGTGATGTAATCCTTCCTTTAAGAGATCTGGAGGTCTGACCTATGTATATTTGGTTGCAGTTGTTGCAATTGATGGAGTAGACTGTCTTGGTTAAGCCAAGCAGCGGGATTCTGTCTTTCATTTTTGAAAAAATGCAGTTTATAGTGAGGACGGATTTGCAAGCAATTCGAAAGTTCAAAGGACTGCACAATCTGATCAGCTTAGGGGTCACTTCCTTGATATAGGGTAGGACAGCAAAACCAGGTCTGGAGTTTGGATTGGTGCTTGTACTGTTTGAATTGATGTTATTGTTGGGAATTCTATCAGTTCTGTTATTAGGGGTTGTGCGACGATTACGTGTATCATTAGAGTATGGCAAAATATTGGATCAACATCAACCGTTTACCTTGGCCACCACGATCGCCGGACCTATCTCCAATTGAACATGTCTGGGACATGATAGGTCGCAGGCTCTTGAATTTACAACACTCTCTAGCAGCTCTTACTCACGAAGTTGCAGTAGCCTTGAATGAGATACCGCAACATGATATCGACCACCTTAAATCGTTGATCCTCAACACATTATTGAACTAGCTAGTGCAGTCAGTCGACGAATCAAGCTGAAAATTTAGTCAATTTACTAGTAAGGGACACGAACATTTAGGGTGTTTCAGTTTATTGTTGCATAACTGTAAGATTCGATAGAACTTTTAAAATTAATGCATAAAGTCTATATAAACATGGGTCGAAAAATGCGTGGCTTCCGAAATACAGGGTGTTTAAATTTACTTTCTAAAATAGTTTTTTTTTAATATTTCGAACAATATTTGATGTATAACAATGAAAATTGGTATACAAGGGTTTTTTGGTACGGCAAAACGAACCATGGGCATAGTTTTACTGTAGCCGCTAGAGGGCACTCTCTACTGTACCTGTAGTGTATTAAAATGACCAAAAATTTTTTTTAGTGCAATTTTTGGCTTTTTTAATAAAAATACTGATTCTTCGCACTTTTCAACATAAAAAAGCTCTCATGTGAGTTTTCGTTATACTTAGCCGTTTTTGAGATATTTCGATTTTTAAGGTTCGATGCATTTTTAATTATTTATGGGAAAATAATATTTTTTTACATTTTCGATTTGGGCATTACAAGTAATGAAGATGATCGTTTAGATTGTGTTTTTAAACACAGCAATAATTCCTAACTCCAAATAAACACAAAAAAACAGAATATTAATTTGTTTAATTTTCCAATATTATTTTTAACAAATTAAATTAATTATTTACAACTAAAATGCTATTGGATAGTTAGGACAAACATACAAAATCTGAAGTAGTTGCTCGAAATGTAAACCCAATTGTTCAATACACAATTCACATCTACGAATGATCGAACGTGGTATAGCATTATTCAAATAAGGCCTTATTTCATCACATGCATTCCTGATTCTGTCTATTAGCATATCTCTTGTGGTTACGGGAGTCTGGTACACTTTTTCTTTTAGAAATCCCC